CGTGTGTGTGTGTGTGTGTGTGTGTGTGTGTGTGTGTGTGTGTGTGTGTGTGTGTGTGTGTGTGTGTGTCTCAGTTAGTAAGAGTTTTGTTTTTAGGCACTTGCAACACACGTATGCCAGAATGTAAGTCCCGAAGATTAATTAATTCATTAGAGGTGTTGCTGGAGAATAACAACACTAACATACAAAGAAAAGAGGGAAGAGAGTGAAGGATGCCGGTGATGATAGATATTTGCCAGGAAAGAAGGAACAAACCACAGTAGTCTCTAGACATGTGCATATGTAGTGTACAGTATGTTGTAGGCCTAGCTCTAGTTCCAGAGCTGTCCCCATGTGTTTTTCATTTTTGTCAGAAGACTTTCACTCAGGAAATATAACTGGAAAAAATCTGTTCGGTGTTAATTGTACACATTGTGTGGTAGTGATCAACTTGACAGGAGTAGGAATTCTAGGAGTCGCCTATATCATTTCTGCTGTCATGTCTCAGTAAAGTGAGACTGCATCCTCGGAGTAGATTTCCTATCATGGTCCAAGTCTGAGCATAGCTGTCAGCGTGCTTCTTTGAATACGAGTAGACGCTCTGAATATGCAGCTCACCTACCCCCATCCTTTCAGTTTTAGCAAAAGTTTTACGGCACTTGCAACACAATGAGGAAGGTCATAAAAGTGCCGAAGATTAGAGGTGTTACAACAAGAGAGTAACAAACACAAAAAGGGAGGAGAGATAGTTTACTTTTAGTAGAGTTTTTAAGGCGCTCGCCGAGGAGAGATGAAATGTTTGATAGAAAAGAAAAAGCAAACCACACCAGAGCACCCGCCAACCACCTGACTACCCCCATCCCTTTCCACTGATCCATACACACATATAATATAAACAATTATCTTAGACAGCCACCCATCCATAGTCGAAGAGAAATGTGGCGATCTGACACAGCTAATAATCTTAAAGAGTGCCATTACGATGTAAAAATATTACATAAAAAACCTACCAGAGATCAGTGTTCGCAGGTTTCCCATTCCCATTTCACATTTTAGTGTGGATGCACCCCCCC